GAAGAGAGAAGAATCTAACTTCCAACACCAATAAGAAATAGAAAAACCTTCTTTCTTGAATTAGCTAGGCATTTTTGTACATCATCTTGATGGACTGGTTGATGCCTCAAATATTACAGAATAGGAATTGTGTATCCTTGGCCACCAGTAAGGCCTAGTGTGATTGGGACAGAATGTCTTCAACTTTCTCTTAAAAAGTATCCAGTCATGTGGTCTTTCTTTACATCTCCTATGATTCTGTGAAGCCACTGACTCTGTCTCACAGGCATCTGTGTGTACACCCATATTGTTTTTCTATTGTCTATGGACAAGATAGTGGATGCTATTGCCCTCAAGACAGGAACTAACAGGGCTGCAACCTAGCAAAACCCACAAAAGAGGCAGAAAGTTACAGATTTAAGAAGCAGCATCACAGAAAGTCGGGAAACACAAAAGCTTCCATTTCAGACCAAGATTCTGAGTAAGAAAAGAACTCAGACAAGGATATTTTCGGACAGGGAGGCCTCAAGGTGCAGGAAACCAATATCAAGAATGTAGCTGAGCTCCTCGATTTATCCAAGCTCTATCTTCTTGTGAAAAATGTAGTTTTAAAGAGGCATCCCTCCAGCTGAAATTCCTTTATACCAGGGGGCCCCAATCTTTTGGGCACCAGAGACCGGTTCCCTGGGGAGACATTTTTCCGTGGACTGGAGGATGGTCCAGTGCGGTGGCCTAGAGATGGAGCTCTCACCTCACAATCAGGAGTCTGTGAGATCAATCCTAGGTACAAGCTAATAGTTGGAATAGACTCTCCTGCTCGAGCAGGAGGTTGGACTAGATGACCTCCAAGGTCCCTTCCCACTCTGTTATTCTATGTCTCATTTTCTGTGTTGCCTGCATCCCATGGATGGGGCCTCGCTTGTTTGCATGGCCTGGTTTTTGGCATGCCGCAGCCCAGTGCTGGTCCATGGTCCAGGGGTTGGGGATCTCTGCTTTATACAAACACTACTTTGTGAGTACATTGCCTCACTTATGAACTTCCTTGTTGGACTGTAAGGCTAGCAAGGATGCTAATTCCTCGCTGAAATAGTGTTCAGAGGTTGGGTCTTTGACAGTTCTACCAAGGGGTGGGATTCTACCTGGTCGGACCAGTTCTATAGAACTGGTTGTTATGATTCTGCCCAGTTCAGAGAACAGGCAAATTGTGCCACTGGCTGGCTCCTCCCCTCCCCTCCTCACCCACTCACACCTTACCTGGTATGGGTGCCATCAAACTTGCCTGCTAAGTTGCTATTTTTCCTTTCCTCCCCCACCCCGACCATCAGCTGTTCTGCTGTGCTGGGAGATTTAGGTTAGCTAGAAAGGAAGAAATCATTGGATTTCTTGCTTTCTAGCTAATCTAAAAGCAGGGCTGAACCTTCCTTAGGACTGAAGCTTACATTTTTCAGTGCAGACTCAGGTAGCCAATTGCAGAAAGATAGATCTCTGAGTGAATCTGTGATTCTGTGAGCAACTCAATCTGCCTGCCTGCTTTGCCTGATTTTGGGTAAAAGTTGCCTTTTTTAAATAAAAGATTAAATATTTACATAAATATTTACAATATTTACATACAAGCCACACTCAGATAGTCACGTGATCACAAAACTACACCCAGTCAGCAAATCACACTCACCCAGCCACATGACCACCAAGCCACACCCACAAATTACACCACACCCACAAATTACGCCACACCCACAGAACCAGTTGTTAAGAAAATTGAATCCAACCCCTGGTTCTACCTCAGGCTTCATGGAAGCAGTCTCAGGAGAGGGTTATGACCACAATTGAGCCCAAAATTTCTGTTGCTAAGCGAGACATTTCTCAAGTTGATTTTTCCTCCCTTTTACAACCTTTCTCACCACCATTGTTAAGTGAGTCACTGCAGTTGTCAAATTAGCAACACAGTTGTTAAGTGAATCTGGCTTCCCCATTGACTTTGCTTGTCAGAAGGTCGCAAAAGATGAACACATAACCCCAGGACACTTCAACTTTGATAAATTGGAGTCCGTTGTCAAGTGTCTGAATTTGGACCACCTGACTATGGGGATGCTGCTATGGTTGTGTGTATGGAAAACGGTCATTAGTCACTTTTTTCAGTGCTGTTGTTAACTTCCAATAATCACTAAATGAACTCTTGTAAGACAGGGATCTGAAACCAAGGGTTTCCCCAGAATCATACCACTGATCATTCGTGGTCTGAATGCACTAGACCAGGGGTCTCCAACCTTAGCAACTTTAAGACTTGTGGACTTCAACTCCCAGAATTCCTCAGCCAGCTTAGCTGGCTGAGGAATTCTGGGAGTTGAAGTCCACAAGTCTTAAAGTTGCCAAGGTTGGAGACCCCTCCACTAGACTGCTACTTGAAAGTACATCAGGGCATCATTTCAGCAAGAGCAGCCCTGTGAGAACAGACTTTAAATCATCAGGGGTGTCAAACTCAAGGCCCGGGGGCCAGATACGGCCCACGGGTGCTTAGATGTGGCCGCAAGCCCGCCTTGGAAACAGCAAAGGACCAGCCCACAGTGCCTCTGCTATCAAAAATGGAGCATGGAGAGGCCGTATGCAGGTGGGCTGTGAGTGGCCTCCCCAAGCTCCATTTTCACTGACAGAAGGCTGCAGGAGGCCGTTGTGGCCGAAAATGGAGCCCGGGAGGGCCATCGTGGCCGAAAATGGAGCCTCAACGAGTGACATTGAATTGGCCACGCCTACCCTGGCCATGCCCCCAGCCCCCGAGGTCAAACACAATCCTGATGTGGCCCTCAATGAAATTGAGTTTGACAGCCCTGATATAGATGATCACTTTGTTGGTGAAAAGCGTTTTCTTCATGTACCAGCAATGGCTCTTTATAGAATTGCTTTTCACAAGCACAAACCTCAGATTACATGTTACTTCCTCAAACCTGAAGAGGTTTGCAGTGAAGTGCAAAATTGCTGGATTCAGATAGGTGAGCTCTTTTCAACAGGTGGTATAAATGTCTGGGGGCAAGTTGGGACTGATTTGAAATCAAGGGGGGAATGGTATAGGTAGAAGTCACATAGAATATGTGCACAGCAGCTGAAACAATCGGAAAGCAGACTCTCGGCACAGCCATGAAACTCTAAGCAGCAGTTATTTGACCACACACTGGGAGGTTCTTCTGGCTTCCTTTATAGAAGCTGCTGCGGGGGGCATCAAAAAAAGAGGGAAGATGAATTCAAGGGGTTGAGCAATTATTCATAGTGCAAAATAATTCATCTTAATTTGTTAATAATGCAACATATGCAGTCTCAGTTTAAATAGAATACTCTTCTCCAGGTTGAACAGTGGAATTCTTGGTGCTCTCTTGTGCTTGGCTGTTTGCTTGCAGAGGTTTCATTACCCAGCTAGGCAACATCATCAGCATGCTACCTAGTTGGGTAAGAAACCTCTGCAAGCAAACAAACAAGCTGAGAAAGCACCAAGAATTCTTATCTTAGTTTCCCCCCCCCACACACACACACAATTTTAGAATCATAGATAATCCCATATAACTGTAGTAACTTTCCAGATATTGTAACTTGTTTTACAGGATGTAAATTAGATGCAGTCTTGCTATCCAAGACACAGGAAGATATTGCCAGCATGAGTTCCTGGCCTTTGGGGGAACTCAAATCATTCTCTGCCTCTGGTTAAGTATTAAGTAAAGTATTAAGTTAAGTATTAACATAGACCAGAATTTTTCTAATATTGATGATAAGCTTTAGCATTGTCTGAATTCTAACATTTGTAATCAGGTAGATGGCAACCAGGGAAGAAACTTTCATTTATAAAATGTCTTCTAAGTTATCTTCTACTATTTTAGCACAGAAGACCTTTTGGTCTTAAGTTCACTGTGGGGCACTTAATTTACTCTGCTGAATTGTACAGAATTTTGTAGCTGTTGTTCCTATTGTTTTATGATGTTAGTTCTGGTTTACTGTGTTTTATATTTTAATGTAAGCTGCCCTAGGCTATGCTGAAGGGAGGCATAGAACATTTTAGAAAATAAACATTTGTAGAAAACCAGTTTCAGGACAAAGAATGTTCTTTTTTCATGCCTAGATTGTCAGAACAGGAAATAATTTGAAGTTTAGTATAATCTAGACAATTTATTGGTCTTTTGCCCATGGCTAATTATTGCAATGAATTACAAAATAATGTAGCACATATAGTTAAACAGTGAAGATATATAAAGAATTTACAAAAAATAGTAGAGGTTGCTATCTTCATATTTATATAGTGGTTCATCCCAATGAATTTAAAAACTGTTTCTTCCAAGTCAAGATTTTATCAGTGAAAGTATACCTCATTCAACCACATCATGTTCTTGGGGTTGTTAGCTATAACACAAATAAGGAGAACATCTGATGAATGAAGTCCAAAAAGAAACTCTGTATGTGATTATAAATATTTTGTCTGCAGTTGTGGCAAAAATGCCCACTTTAATTGAGGAATCAAAAGGTTCAGAGATGAATACAAGAAAGTATCTTTTATTGGCATGCACTAAGAGTGATCACTAAGCTCCTGGCCAAACAAATACAAAAAAAAACAAACCCAAAACTAAACCAAGTTATGAGTCTTACTATACTGTACAGTATATCCCCAGAACTGTTACATAGGAATTATATAGCAATAAATGTAAGTCATACAATGACATTTACAACTGGAACATATTGTCTGATAATACTATGAGATTATCTTATTATGTCAATGCCAACACCTCTACATTCATGTCTACTAATGGAATTCTAACCTGCCTAATTACAGGTGATAACACTATCTACCATAAACAATGGCACTTATTGTGTATCTAAACTACCTCCCTTCTCATTAAAGACAACCATCTACTTTATTATCTTTCTCCTCTCTCCTTCTCTCTCTCCCCCATCTCTCCCATCATCACATAGGTTTCATTTATTTTATTTATTTTGTTTGTTTGTCAAACATGATAAACAAGATAAGTATGAACATAAACAAGAACAAAGGAACTAAATACAGATAAATGGGAACAGTAAGACAGGGATGGAAGGCATGCTGACATGCTTATACATGCCCCCTTTTAAGGACTTTTTAAGAATGGGGTGAGGTCCACTTGTTATCTGTGCTCTATTTCTAACATTTGTTATCTGTGCTCTTGAATTTCTATGTCTTCCCTCATGTACATGTACAGGCTATCATACATGACAACCTTCTGCATTAGATAACAGAGACATACCAAAGAAGATTGCAAAAACTGTCAGACTGAGGAGATGGCATGAGGCATATTCAGGGTGTCAAGAACTGCAGCTCCAAGCAACATCATAAGAAAGAGCAATCAGACTGTTCAGTTGTAAAGATCAAATATATGAAAAGAACTCCAAATTAGTTGATATGATTTGACAACAAAAGTAATGTGCCTCTTAAAAGATATCCAGGGGTAATACTCTGAATATCTATTCAGACCAAAAGTCCCTGAATTCTCTCCAGCAAGGAGGAACAAGCTGGATGTGTCAGAGATCACTTGGAACAAGTTATTTATTTTCAAGTGTTCAAATTCCTGCAATTATAACCACTGATGTATAGATATATCCATAAAATCAAGTTAACATTCAATTTGTATCTGTTGTGTGGTCTTGTATTGTTGCGGTTAAAGCTGAAGTAGTCATTGACTGGCAGGACATTGTAACAGATAATTTTGTGTACTACGCTTAAGTCCAACTGTAGACGGCATAGTTCAAGATTGTCCAAGCCCAAAATTTCAAGCCTGGTGGTGTAGGGTATTCTGTTGTGAGCAGAGGAGTGTAGTACTCTTCTCGTGAAATACTTCTGGACTCGCTCAATTGTATTAATTGTATTCATGTCCAATATACAGTGCAGATTCCAGACAGATGAGCTGTATGAGATATAGTCAGACAAACTGGAACAGACTAGAGCAGAGATGTCAAACTTGATTTCATTGAGGGCCGCATCAGGGTTGTGTTTGACCTGGGGAGGTGGGGGAGGCGGGCATGGTCAGCTCGACATCACTTGTTTCTGGGCCTCTGTGGTGCCCTGGGCGAGTCTGGGGGGATCCATTGTCTCCAGCAGAGGAAGGCGAGACCAGGGAGAGCACCAAACCCTCGTCCTCCAGAAAACCCTTGCCGTCTGCTGGTAGCCATGTGCTAAGGCAAGACTTGCTTGCTTGCTTGCTTGCTTGCCTGCCTGCCTTCGTTTTATTCTTTTTCTTTCACTCTTCATTCTTCTTTCTTCTTCCTTCCCCTCTTTCCTTCTTTTTCCTTCCTTGCTCTCTTCCCATCTTCCCTTCTTTTCTTTGTCTTTTCTTTTTCCCTTTCTCCTTTCCTGTCCCTTCTTGGATGGTCAAATGCAAAAGGGGAAACATTTCTCCTTTTGTTTTGTTTTGCTTTTAGTTTGTTTTGATATCCCTCTGCCAGCGAAAATGGAGGCCGGGGGTGCACATGCCCCCCTCAGATCTCTTTTTTGCTGGCAGAGGACCACGGGAGGCCATCCAGGCCAAAAATGGGGCTTTGGCCTGAAACCCTCCCAAGCTCCATTTTCGCTGGCAGAGGCACTGTGGGCCAGTCCTTTGATGTTTCCACGGCTGCCCTGCGGCACAGAATTAAGTACCCCATGGGCCACATCTGGCCTGCAGGCCTTGAGTTTGACAGCCCTGGACTAGAGGCAACAGGGATAATCAGGGACTGGAAGCAAAGTCTTATTACAAGAATCTGAAAACCCTTGAGAAGCTTGAGTGTGATTCTGATGAACCCTTCAAAAACACGAAAAGATCCACAGAAAAGGTCAACACCTTCTCTGTCTGCGTCATTTGAAAAGGCAGAACACAAAATAATGGGTTTGATTTACAGAAAGGTGTTAGGGGCAACCTCTGAACAATAATATCACTTCAGTATTGGAATGAATTCCCCAGAGAGGTGATAGGCTTCTCTTCATTGTTATATGTTCAAGTGGAATATAAAAAGCACAAAAAAAATTCCCCATTTTGACCCTATCCATATACTTTCTCTTTCTACTCTCTTTAAGTTTCCCATAGTCCACCGTCTGCTTCTTTCTCTTGCTTAACAAAGCACTATTTATCTGCACATTTCAAATTGTGAAGAGTTTCCATCTCTCATTCTGATTCCTCTCATCTCTTCTAGTCTGGCCACTCTTATATCTGTTGTATGTCTATGGAGCATCTCAATCATCCAGGTCATGGTTGTCCCCGAGGGGCTTTTCAAAAGGCAACTGGACTTTCTTTTGTTGTTTTCTTGAAAGGAAAAACAAAAGAAAGTCCAGTTGCCTTTTGAAAAGCACCTCAGGGAGAAGTTAAACAGAGGCAGTTAAACAAAGTCCAGTTGCCTTTTGAAAAACGCGTTTGGGACTAGAGCCAGTTTGTGGTTAAGGCATTAGGCTAGAAATTGGGAAACTGGGAGTTCTAGTACTGCCTCAGCCATTTGCGTGACCTTGGGCCAGTCACACACTCTCAGCTCTAGGAAGAAGGCAGCTGTCACCCTTACCAGGTAGACCAAACAGGAAACACAACTAATTCCAGATAATTCTATTTCGTTGTAAAACTACATTAACAGAATCTTGCAAGACTGAAAGCATAAGTCTCCTTTATAGCCCCCCAAAAACAAGAGAGAGGCTCTTACCCTGCCTGCTATCCAGTTGCAGATAAGCTCTCACTGATCTGACCATCCCCTAGGCTGCATCTGTTCACCTTGTTTCCCAAGGTCTTTCCCACCAACCATCACAAAGGCAATGGCAAACTACTTCTGAAGTCTTGTCAAGAAAACTGCAGGGACTTGTTCATGCAGTTGCCAGGAATCTTGAAAGCAGGAAGAAGAATTAAACAGGTCTGGCCACAAATACATTTTTGTCTTGCTCTCTTTCCTATCCTGAACTGCATTGTTGTTCCAAATTCGTTACTTAACAATGGTTGTTTAATTCATTGACAAAGCACCTCAAAAGAATAATCAGGGGCTTTGACACATCCATTAACCTTAATGTAGACAAGACTGCTTTAGATCTAAGTAGGACATGAAAATATCTGTTGGATCATTTGGGATTCAGTAATGGCTTCTTAAAGAATTGTCTTCTTTTTGTCTCTTTTAAGATGTTAGGCCAAGAACTTGGCTAAAGCCTCTCAGTACATGATATGGCAAAGTCTAAACTGAATATTTATTATGACATCTGAATAGAAGTGGGGTTGTTGTTTTTTTTCAACAATTCATTGCATCTAACATAAAGCTAGGCCTACTTATATCCTCGGATGCAGTGGCTCAATGGCTAAGACCCTGAGCTTGTCGATCAGAAAGGTCAGCAGTTCGGCAGTTTGAATCTCTAGCACCGCATAATGGAGCGAGCTCCCATTACTTGTCCTAGCTTCTGCCAAACTAACAGTTCGAAAGCATGTAAAAATGTAAGTAGAAAAATAGGGACCACTTTGATGGGAAAGTAACAGTGTTCCATGTCCCTTCGGCGTTTAGTCATGCCGGCCAATGACCACGGAGACATCTTCAGACAGCATTGGCTCTTCAGCTTTGTAACAGAGATGAGCACTGCCCCCTAGAGCCGGAAACAACTAGCACATATGTGCGAAGGGAACCTTTACCTTTTATTTATATCCTCTTGAATTTAATTCTACACCTTTTCTTCCCATATTTCCCACAGAATAATGGAATATTTGTTTTATGTTTTTCACAGTCAGTTCTGTGACAATTGCCTGTTTACATTCTTGCCATTCCTGCACTGGGAAACTGTACTCCCCCAATCTGTAGCTAACAATTCTCCCTCTCAGATATATTATTCACCTTTTAAATCTATTTACTCTATGCAGCTCAAGTATAAAAGATTGACAAAGATGAAATATAATGGTGATCAGCCAAACCCCTGCTGCTACTTGTTATCCCATTAAGAACTCATACTAAATTCAAATAACTAGCTTGAAATGGAACATATACCCAAAGTTCAGTCAATAATGATTTCAAATTCAAAGCAAAGTGAGTAAGTTTTTTTTTATCTTGTTACAGCAATCATTTCAAGACTACAGTAGATGTAATAACTATTTGCAATGGAGAAAAGTATTTATGAATTGGCATGTATGAGGAGTTACTACCTGCTGTCTCTCAAAAGTGCTGGGAAAGTAACATAGTATGTTAAATATCATATTCTGATTATCCTACCACAATAAATAAACACAAAATACTTCGTAGAATATTAGAATTTCCCCCAATTAGGAAAATTTAGTGGCACTATTAATTTTTCCCCTTTCCTATAGTTACAGTAGTTTTATACAAAATGACATAAATTAGCTTCTACTGATTTACAGTACAAAACTGCTTTTGTATCTGTATTATTTTTTTCCAAAATGAAACCAATTATAGCAAAAACATTTCTCCTGCCAGCTTTCTAAACTAAAACAGTATATTTTCTTAGTTGGGTTCCTTTAGTACCCTTTGGGCATCTGTGGTACCTAATCTAGGTGTGGTTTGCTTTTTTTATTGGATCCTTGAAATTTATTAAGTGGAACCAAAGGATGACATACCGAGATAGTGAAACTGAAACCACAGTGGAAAATGAAAGTGGAATGAAACTATGCATATTGGGATAGTGAAAAAATACCATCCCTGAACATACACTTTACAAAGAATTTTCCCCATTTCCATAAATTATGGATTTCCTACTATTGCGTTCTTCAACCACACAAGGTGAGAAGTCAGTAAAGCCACCTGATATCCATGCAGGAGATTTTAAAGAAGTTGTCCCTAAATTCATTTTATGCTTGGTTCAACAGATAATAAATAGTATAACTGAGTATGAATCTTGTCAATGGTTTCTCCATTAAAGCCTTAAAAATGTTGAATCTAAATCTAGCCTCTATCTATACCAGGGGTAGTCAACCTTTTTATACCTACCGCCCACTTTTGTATCTCTGTTAGTAGTAAAATTTTCTCTAACTGCCCACCGGTTCCACAGTGATGGTGATTTATAAAGTTGGGGACAAAACCCCTACTGCCCACCATGAAAGCTGGAAGACCCACGAGTGGGCGGTAGCAACCAGGTTGACTACCACTGATCTATACAATATATATCTCCCCATTAACTAGGCTATAGTGGTCTTGGGCAATGTACTATTTTTCAACTTCCATTTCTTAACAATTAATATTAACTTATCCAATGAGACAGTACTATAGCTCATGGCTGAACTGTGCT